GTGGGAGGGACATTTGTGGGCTGGAGTGACTATCAATCTATCCAGCTCCGTCCCTGTTTCTGATTCAAAGAGAGTCCCTTTTTCCCTCTCTGCAGTCTGGCGAAAGTTAGGTAGTCAGTTGAAAGTTAATCAGTTGAGGCCTCTTGCTGAAAGTCAGCCAGCCAGTTGTTGTTAGTTTGCTGTTTGATCTCTTCAACTGGAAGGAAATAAAACCTTTTATCCTTTGTCTTACCAATGTCTCAATTACTGAGTCCGTAAGTGCCAGTTGATGAAAAGAAAAAAGAATGGTCTACTCTTAGAAACTTGAAGCTCATTCTGCTCTGCCAATCCTTCCATTTCTGCTGCACAGCTGAGGGAATTTAACCAACATTCAAAACTTGGCAACAGAAACAGTATTTACCAATGCTTGGAAAATTAACCTTTTTGACTGTGTTTCACCTAGTCAGTATGGTAACTAGTCAAGCTGGCTGGGAGACCCTGGGAGTCTGTACTATTAAAAGAACAACAACAAAACGTTTCTAACTTTACTGAAAGGAGAAAGGGAAGAGAAGAAGAGACTACATAAACCACTTCATGATAGGGAATTGCACCACTGGGGAGTTGCTAGACAGAAGGCTTTTTCCTGTGCACTCAAGAGCCTCGCCTCCTGTAAAGCTAGAATGAAGAGCAGAGCTTGATCTGAAGATCTCAACCAGCAAGCAGATAATCATTCAACTACTGCAGTGCTTATTACTAGCCTTGCAAAAGCAATTTTATTTGTCCATGTTGCTCCTTTTCCTTAAAAAGATAGTGCAAACTAAAATATTCTTCAATAGGAGTGAGATTAATCTGAAATGCATGCTTAAAAAAAAAAGAACACGACATTATGTCACTCATACCAAACCTATTTGATCATTAAGATCTTTTCCTCCCCGCTCTGGCTTGGAAATCAGTTTCTCCTTAGCTGAGAGCTGATCTCATCAGTGTCAATTAAAGTTCTCTGCTGTGACCCTGACCTCTGCCTTGAAGAAGGTAGAAAGGGCTGTTTTACTTTTGCTTATCTTGTGGATAATTCCAAAGCACTGCTCTCTCACTATAACTTTAAATAACCATGAAAGGCTCTTGCTTTGGCAAGAGATACTTAGAAATGGAGGAACCTGAAAATAAGAGTGCATTGCCTCTTTCAAAACATGTTTTTCTTGGGGATGGGGAAGGGAATCTCGCTAACGTCCTTCTTTTGAAGATGCTTTCCCCATCAAAAGTACTAACAGATTTCTCTTTAACCACATCAGGTACATATAGCCCAGAATCACATCTTATCCCTCTTGATTAAAAATGCAAAGTTCCTCAAGATTATGAAAGGAGACCTCTTTAAAAAAAATAATCCTTTGACCTTAGCAATCACCATTCTGAACAGAAATGTGGCTTGTGGGCAAAGTTAGATCTCTACCTGCCTTGTGGAGGAAGAGACACAGGAAGATTTGCATCAGCCAAAGCAAGAAACCATTATCACATATACCCTTTCTTTTATCATATACCCTTTTATCATATACCCATATCATATACCCTTTCTTTTTCCTTTTCTGAGTTCTTATTACAAAGTTCTTATTATGAAGAAGGGGAGGATATGGAGGGAGTGACAGATTTTACTTTCTTGGGCTCCATGATCACTGCAGATGGTGACAGCAGCCACGAAATTAAAAGACACCTGCTTCTTGGGAGGAAAGTGATGACAAACCTTGACAGCATCTTAAAAAGCAGAGACCTCACCTTGCCAACAAAAGTCTGAATAGTCAAAGCTATA